TCCGATCGTCTTAGGAATATTTTAAAAAAGACACAGTCAGTTATGTTTGTAAACACAGAATTTGACTCGGAGACAATTTACGAGGCATTGACAGCTTAGTCCTTTGCTGTCTTGGCTACAAAAAAGACTGAGCATCACTTGCAAGTCCATATGTGCATTAAACATTCTGTTCAACACAGAATACGTTCTACAAAAAGGGAGAAGTAGTAGAAATGAAAAAAAAGAATGTTTTTGCAAATGGACACAATTTTTACATTTTCTGATTGCAAACACAACTTTAAGTTGCAACACATTTAACAACTACTTTGTAGTTAATGACTATAAAAGCATACGAATGATTCGAATAATTCATTTGCACAGATGATGACAAATTTGTTATTTTTAAAGTGTTTGAGTAAAGTCTAGGCTACAGCAATTAAACATTTGTTGTGTTGTCTTTGTGCAGGATGTAGAAAAAAAAAGAGAAATATTGTATTTTTCCAACAGAGATGTTTTCTACACTTCAGAAGTTCTCTCAGGGTTTTGAACCAAAACAGCAGGTTAAAGTGAAAGTAGAGCACATCGACTCTGGTATGTTCAGTAAGTCTGCAGCACTCCAGAGATCTTTGCCTCTTAGCATTCAACATTCCACGTTGCGTTGAATAAACAAACGTGTTAATCTGTGTTGGCACAGTGTGGTTGAAAAAGGTTGACTAGACACACAACTCTTTGTTTAAACGCTGTTAACCAAAGGAGCCTGACAAGTGCAGATTTTCTGCATCAGTCAGGCCGTTTGAGCATGAGAAACTAAATCGCTAAAAGACAATTTCACATTTATGCTTCTCCCTTTTTTATACTGACATGAAAAGAAACCAAAGAAATATCGTTTTAAATCTTGGTAAAGAACATGTGGCCAAACTGAAACAGCTTAAACAACTATATGCATTGAAACAGGGAATATAAGCCAAACACTTTCTTAATGAGAAGACTTTTTTTCCAACCGCTTTTTTATTTTTATTTTAAAATCTTATTTTATTATAATTTGTTTGTAGACTGCCCAACAATTGAGCAGGAAGAGTTTTTACCTTGACCTAAAAATCAGAATGACATTTAAGCTCAACATTATTCATACCCCTGGCAGATTTATATGACAAAGACATTGTTTCTGTTTGGAAATAAGACAGATATCCCTTAAAATAATTGCCATGCAGCTTTTTTTCTTTTTTTACACCTTCCAATGTTATTTTGACAAGTTATCTCTGGTGATGAACTCCAAGTCTTCTTCCCTGGCATCACCCTCTTCTTTGGCTCCTCCCAGAGGTTCTCCGTCATTCAAGATGAGATTTTGCCTTTCAAAAATCTTATTACTTCAAGCCTGGTCAATATTGTTAGAATCAAGGGGGCAGGATTGTGCAAAATTTACTTTTTCGAAGTTTAAATAATGCTATGATGTTATCCCCTCATCAAAAGACATGCCTGGATTGTTGCTTTGACTCTTTAATACTTGTTTGAGAAATCCTTCAATCTACTGTGGCAGCCGTTTGGAGTGCCTAAACTCTTACTCTCACCAAAAGCGCAGCCTTTTCCACGAAGTTCCTCCTTGGAGCTGCAGTCTTCAAGTCGAGCTTCTTCCTTACAGAGAACCCCTCCCACACGACTTCCCCACTCAGATCACCCAGAAATGTCTGGAAATTGATAAGGTTGCTCTGTTCAACGCAGATAAAAACATTGTTGAAAAGATAATAGAGGAGCGCTGTTCTGATGAGGTACTGAAAGCAGAGTGTCGGAAAGAGAAGGAGCTTCTTAAAGAGACAGACACCCAATTTCAAGGTAATAAATTGCAAAGTCAAATTTCTTTGAAATTGTGTTTTATATATGTACGCATTTTTAACAAATGAAGGTAACATAATTACTTGATTGTGCTATAAAACGATACTATGTGCCTGGAAAATACATAATGCCGCCCCTTCAAATATATACTTTTGGCGTAAATCTGCCAGGAACATGTATAAACTGCAGCTGTGCACTGTGGTGTTGTTTTATGGAGAAAAAAAATAATCTCGAGGAATATACAAGTTCAAGTACAGTTACATTAAAAACTATTCAAAATTAGCAACCAAAGCACCATCTAGGTGTACTGATTTTATGCCTGTAGCAAAATGTTGTAGTTATTCAGTATTAGTGTATTTTCTGATTGGAATAACAAGCTCATGCAACAGCTTGTCTGTACTGACAGGGTCATAATAAGAGGGTTTGATTTAATGTAACAGGATTTATAAAATGCCAATTTGTTTAGTTTTTTTTTTCAAAAACTTAAACATTTTCTGCTTTTTTTAACAAATAGAAAAAAAAAAAAATTTTTAAACAGCCTTTTAAACTCCGAGATGCTCATCAAAGTACAAAGTAACACATTTGAAGTGCATTGGTTGTTATCGTGATATCTTACGAGAGCCTAACATTAAAAGAAAGCCAGAAAGACATTGTTTGGAAATTGATAAGGTTTTTGTGCATTTCAGTTTCTATGAACAACCTTGTTCGAATAAAAACAAGGTTGCCTACTAGCATTCAACATTTTGCTGTTTTGGGGTCTAATTCTATGCTAGGTTTGGAATCGGGTTTGTCACTCCTGTTGGGACAGATTCACCTCGTCAGTCCATGCTGCTCTGAGACGGGGGCAAGGTGAGAAGTTCGAGAGCTGTTTTTTCTGATTTGGTCAGAGGAAGGTCTTCAGCTGGAGTGCACAAGATAGAGAATCTCTGCAACAGAAGCAGAACGTTACTTTTAATTCAAGTTTGTTTGAAACTGTTTTTTTTTTTTTTATCTTTGGGTGGCATGACAATAACTTACCTCCCGCAGGGTACCAGGAGTGATGAGCAGATTGTACAGCATCCAGAGGGGAACCATGAGGGTTGAGGAGAGAGTGAACCACCAGCCCAGAGCGTAACCCCACCACGGATACTCTATTGTGTTGTCGAACTTCAGAGGGGTGTACTTAACCAAGGAAAAAACAAAAGTACCCTGAAAATATCAATGAGAAAAAGATAATAGATGATAGTTAAAGTCTTGGCAAATGATTTGATGAATTTGTTATTTCAATATTTTTCTCAAATCCGTACAGTTGCTTTTATTTAATAATATTTCAAATAATCAAACACATGTTCTTACTAGTCAATCTCAAAAAAGGAAGTTTAAGCAACACTTTTCAAACAGATTTTAAAACAGCCTAACTCACACAATCCTCCACAGCAATTTTAAACGCAAAGTTAATATTTAATTTAACAAAAAAACCTGGCAAAATGTGCAGCAACCCACCAGGCAAATGACTGGAGTGACGTATTTCAAACAGTACTTAATGAAGGGAAACGGCCGGTAGCCGATCATGTCCTCAATGTTGTTGTAAAAGTGCTCAGCACCTGAGAAAGCATGGGAACAAAGACAATTAAGATCCACTGAGAAGAATCTGTGTAAATTTCCCCCCGGTGACGGACTCACCGTACACCCATCCAACACACACAGACTGCAGAATGGCAAACAGAAGCAAAGTCATCCCACTGCAGGCGTAGTAGTCAAACACCTGGAAGATGTACAGTCCTCCCTATGTGCGATATTAGATATTTTTACTGTCATGTTGTTGGAAGTGGGAATTTTACCACGCGAGATTTAATCTTACTTCTGTCACCATGACAAGACCAATGAAAAAGCTGAAGACGCAGATGAACAGGAGCAGAAGTTTACGTCGATGGCCGACAAGGAAGAAGGCAGGATACAGGTCAGATATTGACGTTGTGAGAGCTTCCAGACCTACAAACTGAATCGCAGACGTCCGAGTCAAGGTTTCTGCAGCACCAAAGCAGGCTATGCAAAGTACAATCTAAAGTTTTCACAGTTTTCAATAATTCATTTCTTTAACGGAAAGTAACAACCTTGTTTAATGTAACATTTTACAAATAATTTTCTGATTTATTTTGATCACGCAAAAAAGCGAACCAGTGCTCCACCTCACTGTCCAGTCCCAGAAGAATGATCATAACGAAAAAGAATATGGACCAAAGTTGAGGAAAAGGCATCATGGCGACTGCCCGAGGGTAGGCAATAAATGCCAAACCAGGTCCTGCAGAAACACAACGTGAACATTTCCTCAACCAACCAGCATCCATGGCGACTTCTGCTGTGGAACTTGAACTTGCATTTTAAAAATAAAATGATTTTTGGTTTTGTTTGTTTCTTTCTTTACAAGCTCACCTGATTCTGCCACTTTTGATATGTCAGTGTTCTGCTCATAGGCCATGAATCCAAGAGCAGAGAAGATGGCAAAACCAGCAACGAAACTGGTTCCACTATTCAGAAGGCACAAATATACACAATCCCTGCAGAAACCAAACAGGTGTTCATTCAAGTTATCTTCTTTTATATTTTCTACTTATTTTTTTGTTTTACATAAAATATTCCTCATTAAGTCTCCGAAACTTTATTGATGTGTTGTATAGCCACCTAAAGCACCAAATATTGTGAACTTGGTTTTCTTTTTTTATTAAATAAATAGTGCATTTTGCATTAAAACTCCTGAACTTACTTGTAGCAGTTGTTGTTGTACTTGTTATAGCTGCCCAATGCAACTAGACAGCCAATGCAAATTGCATAGGAATAAAATATTTGTGTCCCGGCATCCATCCATACCTGCAAGACAAACAGATGGCATATTTTAAAAATCTGCTGTAAAATATTTGCAATAAGCACTGTGTTGTAAATTACTCCTACAGCAAGTATGCAATCATTATGGAGTGTTTTTTTTTTTTTTTAAAGAGGCTCTCTACTTGTGTGGCATGCCGAGATGGAAAGATTTTACAGGAACATCCAGAAAATTATTCTTGAAGTGGCAAACCAAAACTAAAAGACAAAGACAAGATAGACTGTTAACACTATTAATTATTTCCCTTTTACTTCATCACCATTCTGCTTGTTTGACATGCAACATGTATTTGTGGCTCAAAAAGAAACTTGGCAATAGTCCATGTTCATTGAAGAAAAAAAAAATAGAGTCAAAAATCTTCTGGAAACAGCAAACTGCGACACAAAGTAGAGCAAAAACCCCAGGAGACCTCTCTTGATCTTCTCTTCAAGGAGCATTCCCTTTTCTTTCATGTTCTTCTTGGTTGCAATACACCATTAACAACCAGAATAAAGACAAAACTGTTTATTGCTAATCTGGTTTCCTGTTTCTTATGCAGACTCACATAAAGTCTCAATAAAATGCACCAATGTTTGTGTTTGTACAAAAAAAAAGTGTTAACACTTCTGGGCATTTCTGTATCATGCTGTTGTCATTAGGAGCTAAATCCTTGAGTTAGTCACAAAGAGATTGAGAATTTATTGGAAATCTAAATTTTAAAACGATTACTTTTCAATGCAGGTACTGAATCAGCGAATAAACGATTTTGACCTGCGGGTCGGCGAGGCGGGATGCATCTGGGTAAAGGTAGAACTTGATCCCGTCCATGGCTCCTGGCAGCGTGAGTCCACGAACGAGCAGCACAGCGAGCATCAGGTAAGGAAACGTAGCGGTGAAGTAAACGACCTGTGGGGCAAACATGAGGAGATTTCTTTGTGGAGAAACAGTGGACAGGAGCTGTTTTCATGTGTAAAATTCAATTTGAGAGATACATTTCTGAAATCCTTGAATACAATTTTTTGTTTTGTTTTGTTTTCTATATTGTCAAAAGGCTGTTTTCCATAAGAAAAGAGGAACCCATCGTGATGAGAGAGAATCTTAAAATTAGGCTTTCGGAGCACGTTCCTAATTTAGCTTAGCGCAATCCACATGACCCTGACCCCGCTGGTCCAGAAAGACAAAAAAAATATTACAACATAGTAAATTCTGATCTTATCACTTCTGAGGAAGAATCAGCATGAACAATTGAAGGCAGGGTAGATCCAAAATATGTTGATAGGGGTGTGAGCTGCTATGACAGGAATGTATGTTAAGTCTGGAAGGGGAAAATACATGTTATTAGTTGTAAAGGCTGTTTTCTGTGTATGTGCGACATTCAAACTAGTCTACCTTCCCAGTAGACTTCACTCCTTTCCACACACAGAAGTAACAGATGATCCAAGACAACAGCAGACAGAGAGCCAACTCCCATCTAATACTGCCCAACTCATTGATGTTGCCTGTGATATTTAAAACTCGTCTCCTGAAAATCAATCACAGCAGTCATTTCATCAATATCTTCATGAACAAACATTAAACTATGCCTTTTTTTCATTTTTTTTTTTCATACTTACTCCCAAAACTCTCTCACTGGTGAAGTTGCGTTCTCAGGTATCGTCAGGTTGAAATAATCTGATCTTTGATCAAACTCCACACAATTTTCTGCAAAACACAGAAATGTTGAAAAATATGTTCAAGCAAATGAAGAAACCCTGTTAAAGCTGTGGTGAGCATTATGCTGTTCTTTGGACAATTATTAACATGACATTGGTAACTTATTTTTGCAGTACATTCCTATTAAGGTTTGACATGTTCTTAAGTCACCAGGATGTTTGTCACTCTTATCTTGTTTTTGTTTGTGTGATTTATCAGCTTAGGTTTATAGTCTTTAACGCAGGGACATGCAAAACTGTGCAAACTGGTTTGCAGCTGCAGGAACTAGAACACCTTGAGGGTATTTATTCTGCCTACTTACTTGCAAAACAGAAACTGGATCAGTATTACAAGACAATAAATCATCGTGTTAAAGAGAAAGCAGGTACTTTGCAGAACAGTCCAATAAGGTTGTGCAAAGGATTTTCTGAAAGCTTGATGTGAATCTAAAAGAGAGAAAAAAATAATGTGCCACTTAATGTGCCGAGATGAATGAGAACATTTTACATTAACTGCATTGCAGCAACTGCACCGGGGCAGCTTATGAAAAGCACGCAGTTGCAGACATTTGGTTTTCTCTTTTAAGTGAGGAAACCTGTTAGAGTTCTGACTGTCACTGCAGATCAGCTGCGAGTCAAAAATCCCCAAAATAAATCGCCCAAAAATGAAGTTTCTTGTTTTGTAGTCTGTTTCATACTCCGGGTCGGGACGTCGTGGGCCTACCTGTGTTCCAGCTGTTCCTGCAGGTCGCCCAAGGAAGCTCAGAGCTGAAGGAAGAGAAGAGATACAGGAATGCCCAGGCTAGTATCACTATGTAGTAGATACTGGAGTATAAAACAACCACCTGACTGCCATAGCCCATCCCTGAAAAAGAGAGAAAAACAAGGCGGTATAATCAGTCCGCTGATTTGTTAACCAATAAGTTGTCGAAGCCTTACAACATGAACAGATGTTAAGCTCAAAGCAGACTATTTTCAGATTGCAATTACAACAATGTTCCTTTTTAATTGTGCTTCAGTTTATTTTCATAGTGATCATTTTACCTTCAAACAGTGGACAAATTTTCCTCCAACAGGTGATACATCCCTGCTTGGTGTACTGGCCGAGGGACGTCTCCAGCAAAAACAAGGGAATGCCGCAGGAGAAGAGGAAAAGTATGTACGGGATGAAGAACACGCCTGAAAAATATTAAATATGTCACTTTATGCCTCTGCACTGAAAAAAAAAGAAAAAAAAAAAATATATATATATATATTTGAACCAGTTTAGAAGGAATGAATCTAATTTGTTACAAGTAGTTTTGTTATCTTTGTTCAAGCCATAAGTCTGATTTCAGGATTATCCAAATGAGAATTACAGTTTGAGAAAAGAAAATTAGCTAAAATAAATTAGAGTAATTTTAAAAAAAAATTTGCTTCAAAGAAACATGTTTTTCTTTGTGGACTTTAATTTAACTGGATCAGTAGCTTCTCTGTTGATCTGCCACTGATGGTAGTTTCTAAATATTGTTGGCTATGTTTAGTCAGAATTGTTTGTGATTTACTCTTTCGCATTTTGAATTGCTAAGCAGTATTATCACTAATTAAGGGGGGGGGGAGCCTTTTTGTCAATTTTACAGAAACCTACCTCCTCCATTTTTGTAGCACAGGTAAGGAAACCTCCACACATTTCCCAGCCCTATAATTTGCCCCGCCACAGCTAAAAGAAACTCAATTTTGCTTGACCACTGTCCTCTCTGGGTCGTGGGACGATCAGGGCCCTCGTCCAGTCTGAACTTGACGTCTGGACTGTCGGTGTTATCCATTGTGCTATGATGGGAGAAGAACAAACATTTAAGTTGGGAGACTTATGTTTTTCTTTTTTTTTCAACCAGAAAAATATTTTATGTATTTAAAAAAATATAATTAAATGCACATAGAACAAGTTGATCTATAACATAACACATGTTGATCTGCAACATAGCACAGGACGTCATGTGGTCTGTTATCAATTTGTGGATAACATAACACAAGTTGAAAAGTGTCTAAGACATGACAGCTTTTCAGCAAAGCATGTTGCTCTCTGCTATCTGCACAGTGTGAGCTGTCTTTCTGCATTAGGTTAACAGAGGGTAATTCTTTTCATCAATGTTGCTTTTGTGTGGCTGCTATAGTTTCACAGTGGGAGCTGCAAGTAGAGTGGAAAATATGTGCCGTCCAACACTGTTAAGAGCTTAAAATCCTGAGATGCTGAAAACAACATTCCTGAAGTCCTTTATTGATCATTTAGGAACGCGACGGAGAAGTGGGACGATTAGGGATGGATTCATGTTGGACAGTTCTGTATAAGAAACTACAATGTTAATATAAGAAAGTAAATAGTCAATTTGTTTCAAAGAAAAAAATTGCATATTGTTTTTTTTCAGTGTAAATAGAAACAATACTGATTTAAACAAAAAAAGAGGCAGATTTAACATTATTCTCAGTGCTATTAAAAAAGAGACATGGTTTCTACTATTAATGCAAGTTTTAATCATTTTATGTCATGACCAATTATCCTAACAGTGATGTTTTGTGATTATGGGAGGAAGCATGAGAGTCCATGCATGCACAAAGAGAACATGCAAACTTCCTGCAAAACTGCTGGCCAGGATTTGAATTTAGGACCTTCTTACTCCAAATCTGCCCCCATGCAGCCTTAATGGTTTATTTTGTGGATTAAAATTGTTTATTTCAGTAGAATCATGCACAACTTCCAAACTCAGTTATCTATAAACTTGGTGGACAGAAAGAAGAAAATAATGCATGCAGTTTTTGATACTGGATATTTTTCAAATTGAAGAAAGAAATATCATTTGGATCAGGGGTGCCCAAGTCCAGTCCTCGAGAGCTACTATCCTGCAACTTTCAGATGCATCCCTGCTTCAACACACCTGAATCAAATGAATGGCTCGTTATCAGGCCTCTGTAGAGCTGATCCCGGTCTGTTGGAGTAAGGATATTTCTAAAACTTGCAGGATGGTAGCTCTCGAGGACTGGACTTGGGCACCCCTGATTTGGATCTTTGGTTTTTGGAAATTCAAATATAATGGGAAAATATCTTTCTTGATGGAGATCGCCCAGAATACTTTCTTTAGTTTATTGTATAAACAGTCATAAACTCTTGAGGCATCATTGTCTGGGTTTTTTTGGTCTGACATTTGACCAAATTTTGCAAACGTTGCTTTCACTATGAGGAGTTCACTTCCTGCAAGTTGTGTGCTGAAATAAAGGTTCGTCTGCCAGTTCTTTAGAACTTTGTGTTTTTGTTTATGAGAGGAATTATTGTCTGTGGTTCTTTGCTTCAAAAGACTATTATACAGACACACAGCATGTAGCTGCCATGTTTAACATCTGCTCAGTTCATGCCCTACAAAAGGCAACATTGTTGTCCAGGGAAACAACGCAGTGCAAGAACAGAACCGCTCAACACAGGAAGAGTCTTTTCACAGCTGCTGTGGGTCCAGTGTATTGATATTTATCTGAATTATGTCAGCGAAAGACTTCATGAAGCTGCCTCTCCCTTGCTAGGCACTCAATAGCACAAGCAACCATGCAGATAAAGACACTTATATATTTATAAAGCATATATTATTGCTTATGCTAAACTCATAGCAAAACCAACATTAAACTACAATACGACTAAAATGGTTTTTCACATGGTAAAAATCAACTGTAGGACCAACTGGTGAATAACAGTTTTAAATTGCTACATTTCTCTGCACTGTTCACTCAGTTATATGAAACTAGAAAGACCTTAGCACACATGTGAACCTGATGAACATGGCTACCTATCTCAACTAACAAACTGCCGATTAACATTGTTACAAATAAGCAGCTCATTATAAGTTTGAAGGAGCTGCAGAGATCCACAGCTCAGGTGGGAGAATTTGAAACTTTCTATTTGTTATTTAAACCAGACATGCACTCAAATTGAAATGTCTGTCCTCGCGGTGCAACATGTAGTGACAGCTATCAATATTTAAAGGAAAAAACGTCAGCAGATAAACAATCAGCAAACAAGCTATGGAATAAAAAGCAAAATTTTCATTTGGCAGATTAATCAAGTGAAGAGATTAACAAGCATCAACTGGTGAAGTCTTGAACTGTTCAAATTTTTAAGATTAAGTGTTCATGAACAAACACTCTTGCAAAAGCCACTAAGCCGACCTTTATTGCAAAGTGACAAAAAGTGAGCAATTATTGAAAAAACTTTAATATTCTACTAAAACAAATACAATGGACATGTAGAAAAGGACATGGAGTTAAACTCTTTAACTCCACGTTAAAATTTAACTCAAATTTGAAACATTTGCAAAGTAATGCAACTGTTTATCACCGTTTAAATACCTGTTGGAACATTCCCTCTAGTTTTGCTTTGATTATGACCACTGCGTTTCAGAGGTCATGCCGTCGTTTGATTTGAACATTAACAGGCAATCAGTTCATCCATGAAACCTGACACTGACACAGTATATAATATTAATAGAAAGAGATAGGCAACTGTGTACAGAGAGTTAACACAAACCTAAAAGAAACCTGATATCGGTTGAAAGGTAGCTGCCAAACTCACTTAGAGTTTGGCAGCTACTATAAAGAGCTCACTTAGAGCTCTTTATAGTGATATAGTCATATCACTATAAAACTGTGGCTTGGATAGGAAACAACTTTGATTGAGCGGTGCTTTTTTTTATATTTATGCTTAGTCCAGATTCTTTCTTAGTGCAGCCACAGGTTTGATGGGGCAGAAAACAAGTTGCTTTTGAGTGCATTGCAGGTCCTGGATCAACACTCTCCTGGCAGCAGGTGGACAAATTCCTTTAAAATATTTTCCTTTACAGCTTCAGGGCTTGCGCAAAACGGGGATCAGATAGAGTAAACACGGTGGTGTTGGGTTTATGTGGTGATGGGAAGGCTTTTAAAAGAGAGTAAATAAGCTATGGTGCAGAAAACAGATGTATGGTTAAAACCAGAAGTTTACATACACCTCACTGCCTGAAGTTAAATCAGACCAAACTTCTTCTGTTTGTTAGAATCACCCAATTTTTTTTAAAATTTTTTTATTTTTGCTAAATCCCACAGTATTGAGAGAATCTTTTGGATAGTTATTTATTAATATCTTTAAAATCAGAAGTTTACATATAAAATGTCTGACTCGTGTCAGACATTTTGGGTTTCCTTCCACAAGCATCTCAATTGTTTCCGGGAGTTCTGGCCCATCCCCACTGACAGAACTGGTATGACTCAGTCAGGTTCGTAGGCTGCCTCATCTGCACACACCTTTTTCGATCTGCTCACAACTTCTTCATACGACTGAGATCGGGGCTTTGTGATGTGAAAACACTGACTTTGTTGTCTTTAAGGTATTTTTATAATCAGACTGTATGCTTATGGATACTGTCCATCCGGAAGACCCATTTGTGCCTGAGCTTAACATCCTGCCGTTACATGTTTCAATATTCCTCACGATGCCGTTTACTTTACGATATGCGCCAGTTGCACCATCATAAGGCCAAACAGTTCCACTTTAGTTTCTTTAGACCACAGCACATGTCTCCAAAAATGAATGTCTTTGTCACTGTGTGCATTTGCAAACTGCAATCTGACATTTTCACGTTTCTTTTGGAGTAATGGCTTCCTCCTCTCTGAGTAGCCTTTCATGAGCGTACAGGGCAGGTTTCACTGTGGATAATGACGCCGTCTTACCAGCTCCAACCAACGTCTTCACAAGGTCTTTGGCTTTTGTTCTATGGTCGATTTGCACATTTCAGACCAAAACACTAGGACATAGAACCTGTCACCTTCCTCAGCGCTGTGATGTTGAACATTCCCTTCATGTTTATACTTGCCATGTAATTGTTTGAGCCGTGGCTGGAGAGCTTCTGACTGGTTTTATTGCTATCCACAGAACAAGCTGAATGTGAAATAAAAGCAAGGTGATCAGGGTGCAGCTATACCCCACCATCTCATAAAAAAATTATTATTATTATTGCAAAATTGTGTTGCAAATCAAGTTTAAAACGGTATTTGGTCCTTTGATTTAAAAGAGTGCTTCTCTATATTCACATGCAGGGCGGTGCAGCTTTTGCTGAGCAAACACATGCAATCTGACCACAGAAAAATGTTTACGTTTGCTTTTCAAAAACATGAAGAAAGGAAAAGGAGGAAGAAAAAGAAAAGCTAAGTAACTTGTACATTTTGTTAACTAACATCAATCTTTGGGCAAAAGTTACACATATTCTAAAAACAAGCACTATCTCGGCTACAACCTCTTTAAAATAAGGCACAAAAGTGGTATCAGTATCATCACTCTACATGGAAACTTCCTTAACCAGCGGCCGATGAATATGAAAAATTAGGCTCATCAAACCCAAAATAGAAATTCAGTCTCATCTCCAATGTTCTTTGGTAGTGATCCTTGTTAGAGAAAATATTTCCACTTGGCTCCTGTAATCTGTTATTCCTGCTATGCAATTTTTAAGAGATTTTTTTCTCTTTTTTTTTAATTCAGATGATTATGAAAATATCTATTTTTTTATATGGCAAACTTTGATTACCCTACTAATAAAATTATTATTAATAGGCTAATAATAATACTGATACAGTATATGACTTTGCACTATCATACAGTCATATGATACTGCATCATATGACTATTGTGAAAGTTGATAAATTCAGTTTAGAGAATGTATATTAGTGTATGGGCATATTTAATAACCTAAGTAGTAGTTTATAATGACAATTATTAGTTTAATGATAAACTAGTAATTTATTATTATTTGTTTATCATAATAAACTTGTAAACCAATCCTACTTCCTGACAGAAGTAGGATTGGTTGCGTAATTTTTCGTGATCAAAAATAAGAGAACTTTGGTCTGACTTAACTTCCGTGTCAAAAGAGCGTGTGGGTTTTTATTTCGTCTATCTAAACTTCTAGCATCAGCTTCACAAATGACCTGACAACTTTGTACAAGCTATTCTGAAAACTGCACGTCATGTTGTGAGAAATGGCTCATTACATGTTTACAGTGTAAGCTACCTGTATTAACAGAAAAATCAGAAATCCATTAGCAGAGCAGGAGAACTGCCTCAGCAATGTGTACAATCTAAGCCTCAACAGGTCATAGTTGTATCTTTGGAATGCAAGGCATCATTTACCACTATTGCTTTTTGAAACAGGGGCATACCTTTCTTGAAATTATGAGCTCATGAGTCCAAGGAAGTCTGTGGAAACTTTCCATTGAACTTTCAGGTTAGTCCTTTTATGCAAGAGATTCAGACAAGTGTAAAATGTAAAAGCATGTTGACCTGCTGTTAGTTAAATGAAATGCATGTGTTGGTGAGGTAATAAAAACATACATATTTACACATTAGAAAACAAAAGAGCACAACTGGTAATGTAAAACTTATTTTTCTAATTCAGAGGAGATCTTTCCTGTGAAGACAATTCAAATATTTGCTTAAGAAGAATAAATGATTTTGTTTGCATTTTGCTGCCAGTACTAAACAAGAGAAGCAACCGCCTCGCTGCAGCATAACAAGTAACCTTTGGCCTACATATTCACTGTACCGCTGAGCTGCCAGGGTACCGGCTGTGTCTTTGGCTTTACGGAACTGAAATAACAGAAGACTTCACTTGGAAACGTTCTAAACTAAACACATTATGGAAAGCATGCCGAGGCAACAGATGAAAAAGAGAAGAGTACCTTAAAAAGATGATACTTTAGTTTTGAGTTATGCATCCATTCCGAGAGACTTCATTTGGTGCCTTGAGAGCAAAATACAAGTGCAGAAGCCCCAGCCTCACCAGGACATACTTGATGCCCAGAACTGACCATGAGTGAGTCCATGAGGAGGTTTGAGAGAGCTGAGTGGTGTGACAATGAGTCCGAGCCACAGAGTAAGAAGGACAGAGGGAGCAAGGGGTGGGACTGTTTCTGAATGAGGGACTTAAGGCGGGGACTGTTCCAGCAGCCGCATGGTCTCGGTAAAGACGGTCATAGGCTCTCTGTATGTTCACAAAACTTTTTCCAGTTTTAACAACATACTTTCGATTTGCTGTACTAAAATTAGATTTTTTTTTCAGAAGTTTTAATAGCTTTCTTCACTGAATTATCTGCTAATATTTTTAAGATTAAGTAGTTTTGCTGTATGACTTTGAATAAATGTTTTGTGAACCTTTCTACAAGCTTCTCACAATAATTCCTCCTGACAAAACAGCTGGCACCATTTCTGTGGGGTTGAGATGTTTTGATTGCCTCTCTGAAACTTTAATTTCATTTTATGGATGAGGTGTGGTGTGTGATCTGGGAGTTGCCTCGTGAGCCAGCTTTCGTTTTATTGTTTGTAGATGGGGAGAAGAAAAAAAAAAAAGGGGGGAGTTGGCGCCACCTGGTGTTTGCTGAGAGCAGGGAAAATGTTTTGTGAATTACCTCCTCCAGAATTTAGATGAAAACTTGCTTTACAAACTGGAACCACAAAATGAAAGCATCTGCAGTAAATGACGACTGTGGTTATTTCTAGTTAGGTAGATAAAATAAATGTATATAAATTGCAATCAAAAATATTTCTTATTTATTGTTAGTTTTATTTTTTCCTATTGTTTAATCAATTAGTTTAGATATGTAGTAGTGTAAATGTTTTTGTTTTTCTTATGAAGAATATACCTTTTTTACTTAAAAAAGCTTAGCTGTAGCAAATATTTTAAAAAGTCTAAGACATATGTCATTTTGTTCATACAAACGCATAATATATTTTAAATAAATTGAAAATGTTGGAAAAATAAACACAAAATTGTGCACAATAAGCTTAAACTTTCATTGGTCGTATTAAATATTAAATGGGGAGGTGAGTTGGCTCCCTCTAATGGTTTTTGGGAATATGGAGAGTATTTTACGTACTTTTACCTGGTTTTAATTTAATGTGTTGCATGCTTGAACCCAAATGTTTATTTTCTTTTTGTGTTTACGAAATAGATATGAGAGACTCTGAAGAAGCATTCAAGTCAACCACAGAAAATTGATTTATTCCTTTATAAAACCCTTTGTTATCAGCTATGTTATCAGCAATATGACATTCTTTAAGCCATCCTTGAGCTGGCAGATTAAATAAAGCAAGATAGCATCATGTCCCACTCAACTTTACACTACATCCATCTTGTAATGTCACAAAAATGACCTACCAGTGTTCCATTTTTACAGGCTTAATGGTTTACTGTTCACTAAACACAGAAAACTGGGTCTCATACATCAGTATCTGTCAACAGGAATGTATCCTGGCGAGATTTTAACCTGAAAAAAAGCTTCAGGTTAAAAGTCGCAATGGTTAAAGACTTTTAAACTGCTGTTAATCTAGGAGTAAACATTTCTGAGGAAGAACTTCTTGACCTGTTGCAAGTTGAAGCAAGTTGTAAATGGAAACGTAGTCATAAAAAACTATGTTAAAATTCATTCATGCAGATATACGTAAGCTGTTTCGTTTTTTGTTTTTTTTCTTTTATGGTGCCAAGGAATTTAAAGTAATAAAAAGTTGTAACCTTTGTTACAATTTTGTTGTTACTACAACAAACAACTTTGAAGGACAGAGACTTGCCCTCAAACTGAAAAAAGTGGAAACACAATTTTGAATTAAAAAAAAAAAAAAAAAAAGAGGCCATAGAGACGCAGACCTGAATAGACAGGCTGAACTTGAATCCTGGAAATGGTTTGACTGAAGATGCTGCTCAATGGGTCCAGAACACAACACAAAAGTGCAAGGCAGAGCAATGTTTCCAGAAACCTAATCTTGATCTAAGTCCTGCAGAGCAAAGGCAAACACATCCTCAAACAAAGGCAGTTTAGCACAGCGAAGTAACCTAATATGCATGTTTCTGGGATTTACCAACCATTACTGCGCATCCCAAATTCAAAATCAGTTATTTCTAAATAAAGACCAATCAACAACTTCATCATGAAATGAAACATCCAGAAAACATATTAGCGGCAGCATAGCAAAATGTTTTGCTGCCGAAATTATCAAAATTATTTTCAAACAAAAAAGAGAGCTTATGTGTGTTGGAGGCTGTACTAAGTTGTACTTTAGAGCCTTAGCAGAAAGCCTCTAACATGTAATCAAAGTGTAACTTTACCCTCAGCTTTGAGGTCAGCCCGCCCCACTGTATTACTCTGAAAAATGTAGAAAAGAAAGATGGCTGATAGCATTTACAGGCTTGGCGCTGAAGGGCATAAAGGTGAATCACAACTAAATAGACTGAAGGAGAATCATAGGGCCACTGCACAAAGCTCTGTTTTTAAATAAAAAGCCTTTCACCTTCAAAATATATGGAAGCAGACAGTAAGTAGGTGAAAGACCAACGGAGATGTAGACCTGTACATATTAGAGCTTCCTGTTAAGGTTCTAGTAGCAATGTCAGATTTAATATAAAGCACAAAAATACCTGAATGTGCACAAAGTATTTTGGTCATAAAATGGTGCAGTAATAAGAGAGAGGAGGCTTTATTCGCATCAAAATCACAATTTTTCACCTTACTATTTCTCAATTCTAGTGGAGAGAGGCACTCTGAAATAACTTGTGTTTATTATACTTCTAAAATAAGATAGCACACTGTGTGGAATAAGGTGGAGGACATTGAAAATAACTACCAGCATAACCAGGTGTGAGAAGTTTACCCAAAAAGAGGGACTGCAAAAATGCTAAGGTAAGTCTCTGAAAACCCTAAAATATCAATTTGGGACCTGCACCAGGCGTTTGCTACCGCTGATATGACAGTTGATGTCTGCAGCATCAGAAACAAATCAAAGAGGTTTAATTTTAAAAGAGAGGCATGCAAGGACAAACAATTGCTCTCAAAGAAATCCCTGAAGGTCAGACTGAGGTTTAATAGAACAAATGCAGACAAAAACTGGTACTTCTGCAATAATGTTCTTGAAAAGATGAGCATAAAACTGAATCATTAAATATAAAGCCAAAATAAATAAATAAAAAAAAAACCCTCCTATTACTATCCTTATTATCACCACAATGAGGCCGAGGCCACAGATTTAGTCACATTGATGTAATAGCTTAAGTTTTCTTGGATAGCAAAAATGGCAGCAAAATAAATAAAGAAAAAGAAAACATGGTTATATTTTTCTGTATGTCCATTCTTTGTGTTGTAGACAGATGGGACTTGTGAACTTCTGCTACATCAGTAACTTAAATTGAATTGAAAGTTTGGATCATAAATCATACTGAGTATAATGAAGAAGACTTCTGTTGTCGACATAAAAACAACAACATGAATATTTACATGTTTTGCTGACATGGAGCTGTCTACGCAGGCAGAAAAAGCTTGACAACACTCTATGACTCATAAAAGTCACAGAGAGACATTTCTTTAACAGCAAGTATGAGAATCAAATGGTCAGTCCACTCACTCATTGCCGTCCTCTGAAGCCTGATGATATCCTGGGAGTATCTCCGTCTTTGTTTCAGCATTTTCCATCTCAAAGCAGCTTTTCTTGCCTCAGGGCCACTGGTGTGATATCTGTTGGTGAATATCTGACTGAAGGGCTTGCAATGATCACAGGTAAACAAGTTGGACAAATCATTACAGGGTTGTAAATGAATTATCTTTGGCAGTGTCTTTCAAAGCTATACCGCACAAAGTTACATAAGTACACGGAAATGCAGCTGTGTGCAGATTTAACAGGACAAGACATTTTTCTCTGTAGCTATTTTTAATTACACAAGAAATTTTGTGATGGGTTTTATGTCGAGATTCTAAAGTACAACAGGTAAAGTACGCTTGTAAACATACCCTTTGAACCTCATCACGTTTTGTCACGTTACAGCAAACTCTAATCTATTTTACTGGTATTTAATATAAAGGATTAATACAAAGTTATTCATAAGTGTTAAATAGAAGGAAAAGGATACATGTTTTTAAAAAAAACATGTCTGAAACTGTGGTACACATACATACTTACATATTTAGTCCCCTTTACTCTCATTCCCCTCAATAAAATCTGGAGACATCGAGTCCACCTGTGTAATTTCAATGATGGTTTCTTGGAGAATATTGGTCAAATAAATGCTTTAATGAAGACAGAGCAACACAGCAACAGAATGGGGAGAGAGTTGTGGTGAAGTCTAAAGCAGGGTTAGATTATGAAATCAATTTTCCGAGCTTCGGACATCTCACAGAGAGAAGCAAACCTCAAGCGACGTCGTCCCACCCAAAGTGACAAGCCAGGTAAGGAGAGTGAATTATTCTGAAGGAAGTTATTCAGCTATTAATTGTGCACCCAACCAATCTGTGCTTCCCTCACTAATGATTCCTTGTAAAAATTACAAGAAAAGAAAAAAATTTGTAAGACAACTATGAAAATTCACAAATTTTAAGTTAATTGCAATCCTGTAAGTCGATATGTTTGGAGGCTACAAAAGTCTTCACCTTTCTTCAGGACAGTGAGTCCAAACATCAATCAACCAACCAACCAATCAATTATAGGGAATGACTGCAATGGCATTCATAAATACAACTCATTTTGACTGACATGACAGCAAATGATATATTGATAGTGTTATAAACCAGTAGAGAATTGTATGGAAGCAGAGGATTTGCAATTTGTTGATAGGAATGAGAAACTGTAAGTATGAAAAGCAGCGCTGAGAAGCGCAACTCTGATCAGAGAAATGCAGCAAAGCAGTTGGAAAAAAAAAATTCTGTAAATGTCGAAAGTTGTGTTAAATACTGACCTCTTGTGGTAAATAGAAGAACTAGCCTCTTAAAAGGTCTTAATGAGAGACTCAATGACAAAAATGCTCCTTAAGAGTTCAGAAGTTGGGGCAAATATTTTTACCTGTAGACATAACTTTTATTATTTAATAACAACATTTAGAATGGTCACTTATAAATGTAATTAAATATATATATAAAACACCTTTATTTGTAACATTTTTTATGACTTCTGTCTACACTACACCTTTAAAGTTGAAATGATTTCTGTGAATATCAGCAACAATGTCACCATTTATAAAATTGTATGATCATTTTAGCTCATTTTGTATTTTTGATGTTTCTAAAAAATTTAAAAAAAAAATCCTTTCTGTGGCTCTTTTTTGGAAACTTTATATCTTATTTTTGATCAGATTGTTTTGTCTGACCATGAATTACCAAGAAACTTAGTATTTCTGAGAATACTTGTTCTGGATACGCAGTGCAATACAAAAGAACAGAGTGAATAGACGAAGCCTCCAGATTCAAATGTTTGACATGCGTGTGAAAATAGCGCTGACTCTCCATCATTTTGAGTCAAATGATACAATGTTTGTCTAATAAGTAAAAGCACTATTATTTGAAAGAGACTAATTTCCCTGTAAAACATTAAGGAGAGTAAGGGGGGGGGGGAAAAAAAATTCTATACCTGGCCTGTAGCCCTTAAGATAAGTTTGAGCCCCTTCAGAGGGTCTGAGGCGATTATCTGTGTTATCTTTACAAAACAGTCACAGACAACTGTAAATGTACCTCTGGTCTCTGTTGGTTCTGAGAAAATAGGTTGTGTTAGTCTCAATGGCCACTCCTTCAGAAACCACTCTCCACGTCTCATGAAGAACCAGGTATTTTGATCTTCTGACGCGACAGGAAAGAACCTGTTCTGCTCAAGGTAAGATATAAACTTGTTTAACTGCACTAAAAGTTGCTTAAAATTTGACTGTTTGTATGGACATGATGCAAAAGTGTAGTTTCTTATTAGAAAAAAAGTTAATTTGGTTAGTCTGTGTTAATATATATGTGAAGGTGTGTGTGTGTGTGTGTGTATTATACAGATGGATAGATTCGTGAATTTTTGTTTGACAACTATGATATGGAAGTTAATAGAGACACAAGGACAAAAAACATTGATACACGCATGATGTGTGGGTATGCACCAAGCTGATACGGATTAAGTATCACGTCGACAAGTTCTTCGACAACAAGGGGGAGCCAGTGAGTCAGAACCCAGGGAAGCAGAGACCGGTTTAGGTTTGAATAAATATATTTATTCCCAGCGGGAACACAAAAGGGATAAATCACTTTGCTTTCAAAACTGTACGATAAAATGCCTCCCCAATATCAGTCGAGGAGTCCCAAGTTCAGGATAAGATTGTTCTCTATTTTCAATTACAGGAGTCTTAAAAAGCTGGAATCATGCCAGTCAAATCCAGGAGAAGGAACCTCTTTGTTCCACTCCGAAGCCGTCTCGGTATTGGCTCCGTCGTGTCGCACACCTGCTGTCCTCAACTTGCGCCTCACTCGCCAATGAGCTCCGCCGCACCTTAACCCTGTAAATATAAACAAACGCTGTCTATACGTTTTGATTGTAGAGGCAACCGATATCCTCTGCGACCCTCCCAACGAAACGTAGAGGGAAGACTCACAGATGCGGGCAGAGTTCCGCCTCACCTCTATGAAACTCTTGAGTTGTCGGTTTCAGAGCAGTTAACCCCGATATAAGCGCGAGCATAGAAACTACCTCTCAACAATCGAACGCGAATAACGCGATTCACCATGGCAACGGGAGGGGAAAAAAATAAGCTAGAAATGTTAATTACTCGCCAACTAAGTGAGGACATAACACATTTAACAAAAATAAATAAATAAATACTGTTGGTGTAAATTAGCGTGGCAGAGAATGCGTGAGTGTTATTTAGAAGAGAATTATTAATATTCTTGACGCTACAAAAGGAAGATAATTTTGTCTGAACAAAATATCAATAACTACTGCATGTTGGACACCCTGAAACATATGAATAGATTTTCCTTTAAGTGTCAAAATATGATATTGACTAGATTGCTTTCACTCAATTCTGGGGGTCAGTACCACACAAAACTGTATAAACAAATAAAATAATAAAATAAAGTTATTAAGCTTAAGTGAACAGACAGAAACAAAACTAAATGTGCAAAAACAAATCATAAACAGAGTCTAATGCAGTCCTTTATGTATTCATAGTAAGGAGAGTGTTTTTCATTGACTTGGTACATAAAGAAAGAAAATAAGAAACCGTTATACGATAAAAAAAATATGTACAAGTCCTTCATGACAATACTGATCATAATAAAAATAATACTACTGATAAAGTAAAAAAAAACAAACATAAAAACAATAATAATAATAATAAAGAAATGGTAATATTGGCAATGGAAAAGTAACACTGATTGAATTTATGATTTCATGCTTTCTACTTATGCCATACTGAACTTAAATGCTTTGCAGTCTGTAAATGTACGCAGTTTATAAATGTATTTAACTAATAAACACTGTGTCCATTGCATACTTAATGACACTTATCTAATCCTGACCAAGGTTAAAATGGACCCAAAACAAATCTCCCATGTGAAAACAAAACCAAACCCTGGGGACAGACCTTTCAGCATTGAGCCAAATGTGAGGGGCCAGTGGGCCACAAAGATGGAGTTCATCCTGGCGGTGGCTGGACATATTGTGGGTCTTGGAAACGTTTGGAGATTTCCCTACCTTTGCTACAAAAATGGAGGAGGTAAATCTTTGTTGTTGCTGAGAGCTGGACATTCGCTAACTACATCTTGGTGAAAAGTCAGTTGTCAAAAGACTGTGAGATTTGCGTGACTAATGTGAGGACTGAGGCAATGTCAGGAGCTAAAGTTTTGCTAATGTTACACCTCAAAACCAATGTAAAAGGTGGTCACAGAGCAGAGTTGGCAAGTAGCTATGTTAGTATTGTTTTGTAGCATATTTCTTAGTAAATACGAATGATTAAAAATATTCAGCACTGTTGATATTATTAAATGTCAGAAAAAAGGCTAAGGTGTAAGAGTCAACAACAAGCTTGTGTTGATATTTCTGAGATACTAATCACTGACTTGTTTGTTTTTAAGGGGTTTTCTTCATTCCTTATGTTTTATTTCTATTCACCTGTGGCATTCCACTCTTCTTCCTTGAGACATCTTTGGGTCAATTCACCAGCCAGGGTGGAATAACATGTTGGAGGAATATGTGCCCTCTTTTTGAAGGTATGCGCTAAAGCTGTCGCAATGCTGATGCTACCTGGGTAGAATCAAGCAAAAACAAAAAAGGTTTTGATCAAAACTATTCCATTATAGCTGGACTGTTTGTTTTGAGCAATTGTCCTCCTGGAAGGTGAGGTGAGGTTTAAAACAATGTTTAATGGGCAGGCCAGGCATGGAAAATATTGACTTGAGAAACTATTTTTCAAGTCAGCTCATATCTTACTAAAGTCACATATCTTACTAAAGACATACCTGTCTCTCCATAGGCCTGGGTTATGGAAGCCAGGTTGTTGTTTTGTACACCGGGGTGTATTACATCGTCATTCTGGCATGGACCTTTCTCTACCTGTTTTCATCCTTCAGAACTGAGCTTCCATGGGTGAGCTGCAATAACAGCTGGAACACAGGTAAAAAGCAGGTTTTCAGGATCTTTTACGTCAAGTCTTGTTTTTTCCCTGCTAATAACATCTCTGCTTCCTTATAAGTTGCGTGTTTTGAACATGGTCACAATGACACGTCCTCTTTCCACCTGTACGCCAACACGACATCTTCAGTTGTTCAGTATTGGGAGTAGGTATCAAGAAGTGAAACATTATTTCAGATCTTTTGTTTGTGCGCGTTACTGAATAAAGTCCGTCACAGGAGGAGAATATTGGGGCTGTCCGATGGAATTGACAACATCGGAAGTGTTCGTTGGGATCTGGCTCTTTGTCTGCTTCTTGCTTGGGTGTTGTGTTATTTCTGCGTCTGGAATGGAGTTAAATCAACAGGAAAGGTGCAGTACAGAACTAACAGATTTCCTTTCATTTCTGATTTCTTGTCATCTTGTCCTCACAGTCACTGTAATCTTTGTGCATTAGGTGGTGTATTTCACAGCTACATTTCCATACGTGATGCTGGCAGTGCTGCTTGTCCGTGGTCTGACATTACCAGGAGCAAAAGACGGCATTCTTTTCTACCTCTACCCTGACCCGTCCCGCCTCGCCGACCCAGAGGTACCATTTTAAATCTGTAGCTGTTTTTATTTTTAATTCTAAGACTTAAGTCATGAATATTTGGTTTTCTATCTATCTTTTGTAGCAAATGTAATCAATTCTCCACATTTAAAATCCTTATGAATCAAAAGTATTTTGCAAAGGTACCGTAATTCAGAGAATCCTGGCATACCGTGTTACTAATATGCAAATGTTAAGATTATTGTCTTCTAGGATTTTGTGGTAATAAGGGAAAGGCACAAAGTGCAGTTGTACCAATGAAATAGGCATTGAAGGTCGGTGACTCAATAAATGTTCTCACAGGTCATGTCAAAACGTTTATTCTACGTATAAATAAATTCAAGCCATGGCTTGTTTGCATGTTTATCACAAATTTGTTTTCACAGCACTCCTTCTTCTACATAAATGTGACTAAATATTAGTCACACTCAGATTGGGTCATAAGATGAGTATTAAGATATGGAGTTTGAAACTTTCAAAATTGACAAGATGCAGTGCTTTTGCAGTAATATTATTACACTTTGAGATTTTCCAAATTTCATAGCAACATAAGTGAATTTTAAGGGTTGTAATTGGACAGACCAACACAAAGTAGTGCTTGTTTGCGAAATAGTGAAATTATGCATTGTTTTAATTTTTTTTTTTGTGTGTGGCCTGTATCCAGATCCCTCTCTGCTCACATACCTCTAAATTAATGTCAGTATAAATACAACTATTCTGTGAAGATGGCTGAGTTTTGTTACAGAACCTAAAAAATAAAAAACAAACAAAAAACCACAATGTAAACCAAAGAACTAAGTGACACGATCAGGTTTAAATACTGGACATGTTTATAGAAGGCAAAGGTGGGGAAAGTTCTGTTTTGGTGGTTTCGCCGGGGTGGGTAGACCTTTTTGGTATATCAAATTTAAATTCAATGAGATATGCACACTTAGGTCCTAATAACACAACAAAATGTACCTTTTCAGGTATGGATGGACGCAGGCAGCCAAATTTTCTACTCCTATGGAGTTTGCACAGGTGTTCTGACATCTTTGGGAAGTTACAACAAATACAACAACAACTGTTACAGGTACATGTGATATTTTTTTTTCCACTCATTATATAATTATTTCACTATGACATAATTAACACTATTTCTTTACACTTCCACACTTCCTCCAAACAGGGATTGTATTTACCTATGCCTGCTGAACAGTTTAACCAGTTTTGTGGCCGGCTTTGCCATTTTCTCTGTGCTCGGTTTCATGGCAAAAGAGCAGAATGTTGAAATTTCCATGGTGGCTGAATCAGGTACTGGAAGTTGATGATTTATGTTTATCAGAGATTCCAAGTAATAGAGATAAAACATACTGAAGAAACTTTGTGATGCCATCTAACAGGCCCAGGCTTGGCATTCATTGCTTATCCTCGAGCCGTGGCTTTAATGCCTCTACCTCAGCTTTGGGCAATATTTTTCTTTGTTATGATCATCTTCTTGGGATTAGATAGTCAGGTAGGAAACATAGCAATTTTTTTACTTAAATCTGAAACTCTTTTAAGAAAGTACAGTTGTAATTTTACTGAACAATATCTCTTACCTCAACAGTTTGTATATCAGGAGTCCTTGGTTACAACCATCTCCGACATGTATCCCTCCTTCTTTCAAAAAACCCTTCTACGTAGATTGCTTCTTCTCACAATTTGTGCCGGAGGTTTCCTGGTTGGTCTTGTGATGGTAACTGAGGTGAGTGGTTTGAACAGTTAATCCTTTATCTATAGTATGAACAAATGCAAACAAAGCTGAATTTACTTCAAAATACGACTAAAAACGGGTCAGAATCTTGACCGATGCTCGAGATTATGACATTGAAAATATTAATATATGTACTGTTACGAAAACAAGTCTTCTGTTTTCTTTCTAGTCCAACAAAGTGGTCAGTTCATATGATTTGAATAGTATGAACCACCAAATGTGGTGTCCACACCTCAAGTAGGGTCCTAAATACAAAACTCAACTCTGGCTTGGCATCTTGGGAGTTTTAGTTATTTATAAAATTGAGCGGTTTAAACAAAAATATGTTCTCAACCATTAAAAACTCACAAGCCTCATTCAATGAACTGTAACAAAATGATTGACTTGAGATGATGTGTGTTGAACTGAATTTTGAATGACTAGATTAATGACAATAAAACAAAAAAAATAATAGACTGATATTAAGTGACATCATCTTTGGAAATAAAAGTAACATTGTACATAACATGGCCAATGAATACAGTGGACCCAAGACAGTTTCCTAGAGTAATTTGGAGTTATGTTACGCAGAGGCATCTGTAAAACTCAAATGAGAGTTATAATAAAATAATAATAATAATAATGTGTTTTTATAAAGATTTCCTGCAGTTTGTATACAGCTAGAATACTTCGAATGACAGAGATTGTGTCTTTTTCAGGGAGGCCTTTATGTTTTCCAGCTGTTTGACTACTACGCCTGCAGCGGGATGACACTTCTATTTTTTGCTATTCTTCAGTCTGTCTGTATTGGATGGGTTTATGGTATGTGATCAAACTCTTTTGATTAACTCAAGTTTTCAACGGCTTCCTCTATTGTGCTGCTGCATGTCGGCAAACTAACAGTATCTAATGTTTCAGGTGCAGATCGTCACTATGACAATGTGAAGGACATGATTGGTTATCGTCCGTGGCCTTTTATGAAATACTGTTGGAGGTACATCACCCCAGCTATCTGTACCGTAAGTGTTTATTTTGTGATATTTTGCATTAATCTGTTTTTTGTGCACATCACTTGTCCAAGTTGAGGACGGCTCTGGACAAAACCAGCCACCCCAAACAATGTCTTGATTGTTTCCCTCTAATCCACTTGTTGTAGTTTTTATGTTGTTTTTAATTCTGTTTTTAATTATGTATATATCATGTACAGATATGTATGTAAGCAACAGACACCTCATAATTTCCTCTGGATTAATAAAATACTGCCTAACCAAACCTACAGTGGTGCAGAGTTAAATGCGGGCTAGATGCTAGAAATATCCTTGTGCATATTACAGTGAGGATCCAACTCTAGTCCAACAAATTTCAAAATGTAGGAAATACTCTGAAGCCTTAAGGTTGCAGTGCATTAAATAAACTGATGTGCTTTTTTTTTGTACCTTCTTCTTCTAGTTCACGTTTCTGTTCTCTGTGATCAAACACAAACCTTTGAAATTCAACAACACATATGAATATCCATGGTGGGGATACGCCTTGGGACTATTCTTCACTCTCTCTTCGACATTACTTGTTCCGCTGTGGATGCTGTATGCTGTGAGCATCACTCCAGGAACACTGACACAGGTAAACATACTGAATTTGGAAATTATTCTATTAATTAGGCATCAAGGCTGGGAGGACAACGGAGTGTCTGATGTAAGAAAAAAAAAATGCTTTAATTAACAACATCAAACTGGCAAACAAAATCAACTTTTGCTTCTGTACAGCGGACTCTGATATGCTGACACTGAAACAGAGAAAACTGAAAATTAAAACAAGGAACATAAATGAAGTGAGGTGCATTGTAGGACATCTTTTTTGCCTTTAATATATTTTTCTACCTTTCCAGTTTGTACATTGCACCAGTTGTCATTTTTTTGTATTAAATCATCTTAACACAAATAACAAAAGGTCTTTCTTTCCTTCTACACAGCGGTTAAAACATCTCTGCACTCCAGCAAAGAATGTACCAGCTGGCACAATAAAGAAAGCATCAAACCCTGAAGCATTTCAGTCATTCACAGACTTCTCCACACTGCGTCCAGCCAATCATCCACAGGAAACAGAAAACACGATTCTGAGGTCATCCGTAGTTTAATCAGCCACGTCTGTTTGTCTAGCCCAAATTATTCAGGTTCTTGGCAGATTTAGATTTAAAATCTTAAGCAAAGAAGAAGAGTATCAGCCTTGAATAATAGTAATTTATCACTCTTTATTTTTGTTTGATTAAAAGAAGGCATGTTAAAAAAATATATACCTTTTTTTAATAATCAGTGGAAATTTTCTGGCACTACAGTACCTATTCTTACATTGCTCATCAGTTATAAGCATTCTGGTGATGAGCTTCAAGTATATTACTTAGGAACGCCTCCTTGTGAGCATCCTAATCCGTGGCTGTCCAACTCTAGTCCTTGAGTGCTAAAAAGTTACATTTGAATTGAAAAAGTAGGTCATTAGCATGAACCCAGTAGAACTTGATGGGATGGTGCGGAGATAAATTGGACCTGGACAAATTTAAAAGTCGTAGGACTTTGGCTCTGGAGGAGCGGAGTTTGTCACCTTTGGTGGGATCTTTAGCTATCTCCACAGATCCTTCATCAAATTCTAGCTCGGATGCTCTAAAATGTCAATATTACTTATGGTCAGAACAAATACACATATAAAATGTGAATTTTAGTTTAAATCTAAATCGGCCAAATATATGAATTATTTGGGACTAGATCTAGCTACAAATCCGAAGATGAAATGTGACATTATGGTTTTTGCTGCAATAATAGCAAAGTTCAAATTCTTTGTAAACAAGTGGATCAAAGGTTAAAACTAATCCTACCTTCTAGAAAGATGGCAAACCCCTGGAGCTACTTTTTGAAATACTCGTTAGTCAATCACTTGATTGGGTCTGAAAGTTGAAATGGAGAAAGTCAGAGTTATTAATATTTCAAGGCAAGGGAAAGCAAAATAAAAATATATTTTTTAGAAGAGTTAACAGCATGTGTAAAGATTTACTGGAGCGTGCTTACATAAAAAATTCAAAACTATGTTAACTTTATTAAATCTAAAGATTCAGTTAAAAAAAGAATAACACTGTACTCTGTTAGGGTACAGAGGTTTTAGGAAGTGCTTCAAGAGTTACTCTGACTTCCTGTAAGGTTGATGTGTCAGGGAAGAAAAAGAAATAATTGGAAGAAAATAAAATCAACTTAATATATTCTTTTTAACTTCATTTCAATTATATATTATGAAGCAATAAAAGACTTTTCCAAATGCTATGTAAATATAAAAAGACAAATGTTCAACCCAGGTTAAATATCCTCCAGCACTTTATTAAACACCAGAAGCTTGCTACAGCAAACCAGCTCTACTCTGACACTTGAAACTGTGGAAAAACTGGCCTGTAGGCAGTTCACAGCTTTAATCACAGACAGATTAGAGGGTAATGTGAAACAAAACTGTTCAGCCAATTTACACTGTCATGCCGTGTTGCACCAGGTGCAGCTGGTGCAACATGAAACCTTTTAAGGAGATCCAGACTGAGAACTAGTTACTGAGACAACAAGTTCAGTCCAGATACTAAATACTGTGGGTATGAAATTATTCAGTACTGGTTACATACACAGCACACTATCTTTATCTGTATTTCATTTATTCCACTGCCAATGTGGTAAAAAACAAAAAACAGCACAGTTATCAATCCAGAAGAAAAAGAAATATTACATGCAAATATATATATTTTTTACAAAGTTATTTGATGAGCTTTTGTGTGACATACTGAGAGGGAAATTGAGCTAAAAGAGCTAAAGTAATATACCTGTTTGGGTAGCCATTCTTATTTAAGTTGTTGTTCTTGGTTACCATACCATAAAAAGATACTTCTCTTGACCATAGCAGATCATATATCTGAAACACAGAAATTTGTCTGTTCAAATGAAATAAAGCAAAACTGCCCTATTTAATATTTGATATTTCTTTAATTACAAACTACTGCTTAGCTCAGTCGGGTTGTTTCTTCTTTCCATAATTGAGCTACATACCAAGTCGTTCCTCATTTCATTGTTTTAAGTTTATTTTCAGATTGATAATTTTTCATTTTTGTAACTGCAAACTTTTGGTTTCAAGTGAATATTTCAAAAACCTTTTTTTATTCCTTGTTTGTCTCATTTTCTTATCCTAAACTTCAAAACATCTATTTCATTCCAGGATATGTTATGCTGGGATTGAATGGAGCATTAAAAAACTTTTTTTGGTTAATGGTTGGACATAAATTATATTTTAATAAATGCATCATTCTATATAATTACTGGCGCCTTCTTTGTCTCTAAACCTGAAGGTACACAAAACATGAGAAAAGGTATTTTCAGAAAGAGATTAATTTGGATGAATCAGACTTGCCAGATATCTGAATATACCAGATTAATATGTTCAAACAATTACACGCAATCTAATAACACAAGAATGTATTGTTCTGGAAGACTTTGTTGGTCCAGAGATGAATGAGTTTTGGGGCTAAATGTACGCATCAAAGGTAAAACAAAAGCAAAAGACATGTGAAGATGCTGGATGAAGCTGCTGTGAAAATACATTGTTAGAATCGTCAATAAGAGCTAAGAAGTCACTCAGAGAGGAAGAAGCCATTACTTCAAGTGGGATGTAAAAAGAAAGATTACAGTTAGCACATCTACGTAAGAACAAAATTTCGCTTTTGGAGACATTCCTGTGCTGTTACTGTTTTTGTGTATATTTGGTGGTAAAAAAAAAAAAAGTGGGAAGCTTACAAACCTTATGAGGGCGTATCAAATGTGAAGCATGGAGATGGAGACAATATGCTAACAGCAAATATATCAGATTTTATATAGACAGACATACAGAAACAGTTTTTTTTTCAATGTGCTTGTTAGATAAAAGGAGATGCTAAATTTAAATGTTTT